CTCCATCTTGACAAAGACACAGACCTCGATAGCTGGCCCTTCACACAGCTCCTCCATCTTGTAAATGACTGTGTTATTTCAGCTTAGGCTTTTATCATAACATTACAATTATTGTTTTTTTAATGTGCAAATGTGGTCACAGCTTATACCTTTGGGTTTGCTGGAGTAATCCAGGTAAAGTAGACTCAGAGCCTTAAGTACTAATCTTTACTTGTCTGAAAAGAAAATTAACTCTAGAGACAGCTTGCACTAAAAGTTAATTAAAAACAAATCTCAATTTTTTTCTCAGAGATCAAACATTTTAAATGATTACAGAAGATCAAAACATATCCCAGTTTTACCTCTTTCCTGATTAGAGAGTCCTCATGGATGCCTTTACCTGTTAGTGGATCAATAAGTTGTGGTTTAAGGGACACCCGCCAGATCACACTGACAAATAATATAGAAACCTTTTCCAGCACACAACAAACTGAAACCAAAAGACCAAAATTAAACTTATAGTTTTAAGACTGAAATAATTTGACAATTAAAATAAATAACAAAAAAATAAAAATGAAATACCCCACTCATATTTTTTAATCACTGGAGTAAATGCCAGCAGTCATCTCTGTCTGTGTTCATGAGGTAAAACAAGCCAGAGTCCATAGAGAAATCTCATGTCTTCGTTTTGTGTAGCTTGCAGGAGACGTACGAGGCCAAAAGGAAGGAATTCCTTGGGGAGCTCCAGCACAAGGAGGAGGAGATGAGGCAGATGTTTGTTAACAAAGTGAAGGAAACAGAAGCCGAGCTGAAGGAGAAGGAGAGAGAGGTGAGAGACGGAGGTGGGGTGTGCCCAGTGCTAAACTTCGGGACACAAGACACAACGGCTTTGTCTCTGCGCTGTGTCGCATTGAGCGTTGTTCTGAAATGGGCACACATTTTCATTGACTGTCCGCGAGCTTGTTCAAAAGACAGTCCATTTTTGTAAGTTTTGGATCACAATAAATGGAAAGCTAGAACATCAGCTGTTTGAAAAATTATTTACGACTCATCAATTCTAATGACTGTTATCTTTGGTTACGTGTCCACAGAGAAGCTGTTTTCAAGAGATTGATTGGCGACTCTTCATCGGTGACCTGACTAAACTGTCGACCTCTTTCCCTTGCTTATTTCCTCGCCCTCCTTTCAGCTGCATGAGAAGTTTGAGCAGCTCAAGAAGATGCACCAGGAGGAGAAGCGGAAGGTGGAAGAGAAGCGCCGGGACCTGGAGGAAGAGCTGAATGCCTTCAACAGGCGGAAGGTGGCAGCCGAGACGCTACAGGCGCAGTCCCTGCAGGCCACCGCACAACAGCCGCTGAAGAAGGACAAGGACAAGAAAAAGTAAGTCCTATCTCTTCTCTTTTTTTTTCCCCACTTCCTTTTTCTCCTCCTGGGCTGTGCCATGAGGGGCCAGTGTGAACACGTACAGTAGCAAATGTCTCTTCTCTATGAAAACTGGACGTGTAATGTGCAGATGAACCAGGGGAGGAGTGGATACTTCTGTCTGATGCAAGACAAGCCTCTCAATTTCTGCCCTTTATACCATTATTAAAATAATAAGTCCTGGCTTTTGAAGGGATTCATATTTTTCCATTTGGAAAAGGAAAAAAAAACTGAAACACTTTTACATTTATGGTGAAATTAGTCTGAGATTCTGATTTTGTTTGGTTTTAATACCTGTTACGTGACATACCTGTTTTTCTGAGGAAAGCCAGGCCTTTAAAGAAAAAATCGTGGCAGCTGAACTATGAGGTGTGGTTCTGGAGACACTTCTTGAAACAAAACAAATCTACATTTGCATTTAATTGTTGTTTTTCATCTATACACCTGGAACAGATAATTAAAAGAAGTGCATAGTTTCAACTCCTTAATATTTAGTTTAGTATTTTCAGCCTGTAAGGGAAAATTTAACTTTTATTGGCATGGACACTCCAGGCTCTCATGTGGGTACAACGCAGTGTTGTCTTGGTACTTATTTCTATGACGGCTTCGTCTGTTATGAATTTGTCAAAATATCATTAAATTGCACAGTACATCTTTCCAAGTACATTTTTAAAAATGTTTTTGTTGGTTGTACTGGACATGCCAGTCTTAGACTTTTTATATAGATTTAAAAATGTGATTGGTCTTTGTATAGCAAATACTGTTGATACACCTATCAATCAGACTTCTGAAATAAGGTTTAGCAAATCTGTCTTTTTTATTTTTTCCATTTATCTAATCTGATATAGTTCGAAATTAAGTAAAACGTTTTGGAATCTTGCAGCTCCTCAGATGTTTTAACCTTATTCATGTTAATATAAACACCTCACTTTTAGTATTTAAGAATTCAAATCATTTTCAACTCTGAAATGCAGCTTTTTTTCAAGGTCTTCTCAAGTACTTATATTTCTTGCGCCACCTATAGTCTCATCGAGGAAATTTTGCAATGAGTTTTTTATTGCGATCAGAAAGCTAGGCATTTATCAATCCTGAGCACTGCAGAAAATGCCAGATAATTTATTTTCATTGTAAAACTACAGGCTTCATTGTTCTTTGATTTATGTTTTCATATAAATGTATTCATTTATTCATAAATGATCAAAATATTGTTTGATTTATTTAAACTGATATTAACTGATAAAATGAAATCCATATATCCAGTATTATATAACATGCAAAAAAACTCAGAACAACAGCACTTTTTCATTAATTCTTTGTCATGAGTTTTAAAATGTGGGGAAAACCATAATAGTTTTTAAAACGATCAAGTTCATTCAGTTAATTTTATGTCGCACTCCATATTTCTGTTGATTTATCTTTTTAATTTCACTTCATGTGTTTTTATTTAATTTTTGTGTTATTTCATGTTTTCTTTCAGTTAATTAATGGCACAGGAAAACCCAGGCCGGACATGGATTTGTCTTCCATCACTGTAACAACAAGAACTTTTTTTTTCCTGACATTCCAACATTGATTGACATTTTGTAAGTGGACCAAAGAAAATTGTGGGAGGCAAGAACAGTTGCTTTGTATACAGACAATGGGTGATAATTGCTTTATGTGCTTTTTTCTATGATTAATAATGTTGTAAGTCAATTGGGACATTTTATCGAGAGTTTCACCTTTTCTGTTTCATTTAAGCCTTAGGCTTTCCTTTATGTATGGCTGGTAATGACTGATTTAAGAGAAGAGGATAAAATGGGTAACATTTTTTATTTCTTGGTACTAATGTCATACACTTAAGGGTTTTATTGAAGAAATAAAGTTTATGTACACTTATTTCCATATACTGGAAGATTTCTTTAGAGGACATTTCAAAGTCTTTATCGGTAGAGAGCGCCTCAGAATCTGAGCCAGGTCAGGCCTGTAATTTATTCCAATACAAGATGATTATGGATAAAGCAGAGTTTATAGTTGTCACCAAATTCAACTAGTTACAACAAGTCTAGAGAATATGAATTACTCTGGTGCTTTTTAATGTTTTTTTTATTAACAAATCCAGGTCTGTGGATGTCTTAAGGGCTTAGTTATATTTAAGAATTATACTTCAAATCACATTTTTCTACTTTATGACTTTGTTATACACTAGAAAATAACAATGCTGTTTGATTTTATCTTGTACATATAAGCTATATAGGAAATTGAGATTCTGTAAGTAGTATGAGAGGTTTGACCGTTTACAGCGCTCAGAGGACATGTAGGGGAGGAAGAATGTAGCTTGAGCCTAGTTTCTTTTATTTTTTGGTGGAGGAAAATCTTGTGTATTTGCTTGTACTAAAAATAAAATGAAGACAACATTACTATGAATAAATAACTCAGCCATGCAACTTTGCTACATACTGGGCCCCGAAGAGGCTGCTTTTGTTGCTGTGGAGTGAGTAATGTTAGCGCTCAGGCGTGAAGAATCAAATTATGTTATTTTACCCTACTTAATGTTTTTGTCCTGTTCCGTGAAGGACTCCCCAGTCTTTGACAGGGACTTGTTATCCAGGTACATCCTCCCAACTCTGCTCCATGTCAGTTTTACACCAGAATGTGCTGTTTACTATTATACCAGCTCAAGCATAGACATTTGAATTGATCCAGTTTCAATAAGAAGTTATTATGCTTTATAAAATTACACTAGTCTTTAATTTCCTGTCCTGTCATCATTTGATCAAATTCCATGAAAACATGTTTTAAGTTCTTTAATGTTTTACCGTCCGTATGTGTGAGTATACCAAGTGGCTTTTGACTCACTCTGTTTACACCTTAAACCTACAGAAATATCTTAATTAATTTGATATAATTAAGCCCTTTTGGAGAACTTTAGTTGAACACATACTCTGTATTCAGTGTATTTAAAGACCTTTCTTGATAGGAAGAGTTCTCTGAAGACAAGTGGTGCAAGGTGCCAGTGTTACAATGCAATAAAATAAGTCATAATATGAACTGAGAAGTGAAGATGCCCTATGAATTTTTCAGCAACATCACTGATGTCCTAATTCTTCACTTGTATTTCTTATACAGGGGAACAAATTCAGTTGCACTGGGAGTCTTAGAGGGTTGCAGGATATCAGAATTTCACAATAAACATGCCATTGACAGTGCTGATTTAATATTTGCTAGGTTTGTGCTAGGTTTTGACTGACTTCAAAGATCTTTACAAAACCATTTTTCTTTCAGATAAATAGTTCAAGCAAGGATAGTCCAGGGCTAGGAGTGCTGTTGTAGTTTCTGATTGCAACATTAAAGAGATCACATCACAATTCTTATTGCGCTGTATAACCTGTCTCAGTATTTCAGATTATTTCCAAGCACACTCATTAAAGTAACTCAGGTTCGACGTACTGTAATATGGCAAAATAATTCTGGCTAGATAACTTGCTATACAAGTATATAATCATGACTGATACTGTTTGATAAATTGTGTACCATGTGAATTAGGTATTCCTCCCTTGGAATATATTTTCAGGAAATAGGAAAATAAAATTTCTATGTAATTGTAAGAAGGGCCTTGTATAAAAAGAATGTAACCTGCTGGAGAATGTATTTGCTATAGAAGTAAAAGTGTGCAACAAATAGTTCTTACAAATGTAGTATGCAGATCAGTGATGTGTCCAGTAACATCAATATTTATTAAGTTTAGTGAGGACCTTTTTAACCAAAATGGTTCATATTGAATTGGGGCCTATGTATTCACTAGTACTAAACATTTCACCTATGTTAATATAGTTAAAACTGGCTTATGAGAAAAACTTGTCATTTAAGAATCTGTTATGGGTAGCACAGTGACGTAGTAGTTAGCATTACTGCCTCATAATGCTGGGGCAGTGGTTCATTTCCGGACCCGGGGTTTTGCATGTTCCCCCCCTCTGTTCACGTGGGTTTCCTCCAAGTGCTCTGGTTTCCTCTTGCAGTCCAAATACATGCAGGCAAGTAACTTGGTTTCTGGGAAAACTGGCCCTGGTGTGAGTGTGTGTTCCCTACGATGGATTGGCGTCCTGTCCAGGGTGTACCCCACTTTGTGCCCCAGTGCTTGCTCTGGCACCCCTGTGTTCCTGAATTGGATGAAGTGGTTAGAAAATGGATGGATGGAAGAATAGGTTTAATCACTTTCTTAAACGGGACCATTGTCGTTTCTAGACATTTCTCTTTGTTAGTTCTTCACTTTACTTACACTACCTGCATTCCATAATTCAGTATTCCCCCGTACAGGTTGTTCCTAATGACTGAAGTTTCACTAACTCGGCAGAATCCTTGTTTGAAACTGAGTAGTAGGTCTTTGCCATCGCTTGCTCTGTAGCTTTAACTTATGAACCCTTTCTTGCTGAATTCTTTGATGCGTATTACGATAGCAATCTTACTGGTCAATGGTGGTGTTCTTTTGTTTTCTGGTGTCCTGCTCTTGCAAACAATGTTTAAAGTCCACAATAATTTGCTAGTAAAGATAATCTGCAGAAAAGATTATGCAGCAAAATCAAAATGCTTATCTTGTGAGTAAAGATGCTGAAGAGGGGTGGGTGTAGAGTGTTGCACAAAGGATATAATTTTATAATCACTCTTAGCTTTATACATTTTGTATTCTATATAAAGGTTTGTAGAAGTTAGTAATGAGAGTAACATTTCAAATTCCCTTCATCTCCACTGCTATATATGTATTTTTCTATAACTTTTATATTCACTTAGCAATTGAATTGTGTTTTTGTAATGACACTGAGGAGAATTACTTTTGTAACCAAGATTCTTTGGGGGGGGATAGATATGCCCTTTTAGGGAATATGTCTGAGCAGTATAATGCATGTTACAGTTCCATACATTATGGCATTACATGAATAATTACAGTTTCTATATTTTTTGTTTAATGGCTCATTTCTTTGTATCTATATTTTATTTGTAAAGTAAATCAGCCATGCTTGTTTTCAAGACCTTTAATAATGACATATTTACAGGATAAAGGTGCACACGTCCGTATTTACTGTAAAATATCTCCATGGTGTACAATCATAATAAACGATTTTGTTATGTTATCAATCACTCATCTCTATTTTTCTTATTGTGGTAATGTGCGTGTTTCCTGCATTGTTTTCGGTCGGGGGTAGTAAATCTTTCATTCAGACGAAAAAAAGCTTAACAGCCTTTTGTCTTTATTCTTTTTTTCCTGCAATGTGTAAGGTGGTTTTACATAATTTTATGGTAAGGGATAAATGTGACCTTTGAATTTATACCGGTTTCTGTTCCATGTTGTCTAGCCAATACAAACTGGATGGCACAAAACGGGTAAGAGGGAGGACAGGAAATAAAATAAAAATGATTAGTAAAGTGCTTTCAGTGCAGACGGCAAACCTGCACGGTGATGATTGTCTTCGCAGGCATGCTGCTATCAGTGAAGAATGAATGAATGAGTGACATTGCTTTATTGCTCCCTATATACACTTGTTCTTCACCAGCTTCTCTGGGTGTTACTTTGCATATATACAGAAAGCAACCTAATACAAGTCCTAACTAAAATATTACTCCTGCAGTTGTGTAAATGTGGAGCAAGAAATTCTGGCTTTCTGTGCATAAAATCATGTTGCTTTTAACTGTTTGACCATAATTTACTATATATGCAACCTTCTGTATTTAATCACCCTTTCATATTTTGTACCCATCCTTTTCAAAAGTAGACTTGTTTAAGGGACTGCTGATGTATTCTTAAATTTTTGCTTGCACTTTAGACATGCAGAACTTTCTTTTCAAACAAATTTATACAGTAATTTATTTTTACAACAACTGTGTGACACATGTAGGATGATTTGTTTTGGTTTGTTTCTAATTCACATTTTCTCTCTCTTGATATTTACTAAAGGGTATGGTTAGTTTTAAAATGTCCCACCACGTTATTTTTAGTCAAGCTTGTGTTACCAGTCAAACCTGGTGTTCAGGGTTATGTTATTCTGGCCATTTAGAATGATTATGATTATTATGATTATACCTCCAGATTTTTCTAATTTGGCAGAATTCTTTTTATTTTTCCACATTTAGAATCACAGGTTACATTATAAAATCCCTTGGTGCAATTAATTTATATTAGATATCTCATATTAGGGAGGATAGATTTACAGATCTACAGTTTGAAGATATACAGTATAGTGCAGTATATCCTTAGCAATTCTAAAATAAATCTTTAAACCCAACTGTAACAAAAGTATTTTGTTTGTTTACGTAAGCAATAATTTCAAGACCATGGTAATTCCCCAACCAGGAACTTGACAGCAGAAATGTGTTTTATGTATCTTGCTCATCATCAATCAGCTACCACTTCCTATCCATTTCATAATCATGCCAAGAGCCTTTAAAAATAATTGGATGTATTTCATTAGCTAGTCAGGTTGTTTTTTACTTATGTTGCATTTCTGCTTCATTAATAACTTTTTACTGCACATTTAATGCAGACAAGACAATATTGAGACTCATTGCATGCCTCGTGTGCTGCCCATCTGTTAAGTTATGTTCAATGTGCTAGTCACTGACTTGCTGTTCTGTTTTTTTTTCTGTAGTTTCTTTAGTCTTCCAAGTGCGTGCTCCTTAACATCAGGAAGACATTTTAATTAGAAGATTTATTAAAACCAAAACGCCACATGCTGAAGGAGTTACATTTGGTGCTGTCGCCTTTATGCTTCCATTAATTCACCACTTTAACTGGTGTAAATGCTGCAGACTAAAACTCTTGCCATTTGCTTCCTGTGCAAGTGCCCTCCAGTGGGCTTCCTGTAGACTTCGGATTGGTTTCTGCTGACCTGTCATTTCCAAATTCATTTGCTGATGCACGAGAACGTGGTTTCCTGAGAAATGTTTTCTTTATGTGGCCAAAGCTTTCTCCTACACTTAAAAATGCTTTCGTAAAGTGTTAAGTACATAATGTACAGTGTGGCTGATGCATTTGTTTGAGCTTTTTTGTATTGCTTTGGATTTGTAATAGCCTGATGTCATGCACTGTAACATTGCAGTTTTAAGCTTCCCAGCCACTCCTGCATTGGAAGGTTCCAGCATTCCTGAGCAATAAGCACTTTCCATTGTGACTTCACCTTGTTGTACATCAGTGCTGAGTACATTCAGCCTTTCCTTGCTGTGTTTAAGAGTCTCGTTTGAGTTCCTGAAGTGGGAAGGGTTATGATTGATAGTTTGACTTGCTGTTAACATACTGTATACTGTATTGCCAGATTAAAGATGCATTCATTTTTTCACTTAAAAACACAACTTGACAAACAATGCCTTCGTGGGTATACCATAAAGAAAAACTGCAATACTTTCATTTTGAGAAGAAAAAAAATATATTGGACACCTGGAAGAAAATTTTGACAATTTTGGAGATTTAAAAAAAAAATCAATGCATCTTAATCTTTTGCCCCCTACTGATTTTGGCCACCGTTTACCGATGGCTAAAAACCAAAATGGTCCAGATTTGTATCTCTTATGCTTGCTACCAATAAAAACTTGTTTTTGAACTGTTCATTTGTATTTGATTTGATGATTTATAATTAATGTAAACATGGAAATATTTGCTCAGCTTGATCATAATATTTTCCCTCGGGAAAAATGTCCTTTTTCAAAACAAAAGGTTCCATAGGCAGTCAATCATTACTCCCTTTTTTGTAATAGTTTGTATGATTGGTTTTCTGCTAGAAAGAGCTGATACACTTCGGCGATTAAAAATATTGTTAAATATTTAACTTATCATACTGATGAGTAAAATATTGAATATACTTAAGTTTCAAACATGCCCTGCTTTCAGATTTATAAACCTGAAAGAGTCCAGGACTTGCCTGACTGCTCTAGAGCTGCTTTATGGAAATGAAAATAAAGCAGTGTAGAGTATTTGAAAATGGATATGTACTGTATGACTGTGGTGCACTCAAAGTACTTACAGTACACTTTATACAGCTTTAATTCCACTTTGTGATTTTTGTAAATGTGTAAAAGCAGGGAACATTTTAAATACCCAAAAGTCACATTTAAGTAAACATTCAGGAAACAAATCTGTAGTGAATTCATTTTTATTCATTAAATGGCAAAGGAAAAGAGTCTTTATAAAACATTAGGCATGAACTTCACAGTATATTATAAAACAAACTGAAGGTGCTTTTTATAGTTTTTGGTCCCATCATAAAGGGAGGAAGTAATAAACATCTAGTTCAGTGGTACAGTTTTTATCTTATTTATATTCCTGTGCAACTTCATACTTGTTAACAGGACACGCAATCTGCAACAGTCTTTAGCTGCCTTTATATATATATATTTTTTTTCTAAACAGACAAGTTGATTCATACATTTCACAATTTCCACATACGTACTTAGCTTATGAAAAGTAATATTTGGGTACATTAAGCATCACATTTTTTCAGTATAATAAACAAGCAATACTATGATTCTACACCATAATATTAAAAGGTGTAATTTAAAGGCTTTCAAAAGGAATCGCCATTTTAAAAGGAAATGGTTAACCAGATAGTTGTGGAAAAAAGAAGGTTTGCAATAAAGCAATGTTAAACCAAACAAAAGATAAAACAAAACTAAAGAAATAAATCAAGAGCAGTAAAAATCTATAAAAATAACGATCTCTAGAAATACTCCAAATATTTTACATGGTAAGATATAAGACGTACTGTAGCTTTAATATCTTTAACCATTATTTTTGGCACTCTTTTGCCACTTTTAAAACAAACCTTCATCCTCATATTGGATTTTAAACATACCTTGAGAAAGAACCTCTTAGTCCAAAATGTTTTTATCTGTAGAAATGATGTATGAAATTAGAAAACAAACTTCTTAAAAGTCTTAAAAACTGTTATAATCAGCTTTTGGAGTGTCTTAGAAAACAGAAGAGTATTAAAGGATTTGGATTTTTTTTTCCCCCAGTGAAATCTACATCCTAGATACTACAAGAGTTCTTGTAAAAATATAAAGCTACAAATCAGGATGCAACTTAAAAAAATAATTCCCTAAACACAAAGCATTTTCCACTGTGGTAGGCTTACTGCTCTTTGTTTTGAAGGACAAGTACTTGCTGGAGCCTCTGACCTAGAAATTGAACATGTTTTTTTGTGGCAGAAGATGCAGAATTCAAGCTGGAAAGAAACAGTATTATGTCAAATGGTTTCTGAATGTGGGGCGACTCCCTGCGAATTTGAAGATGGTGTTCAGAGACTAGAAAGCACCAATGTCTGTGTGCAGGCTGCGCACGCCCTCACTTCTGCTCCCCTCAGCTCTGCCTTGTTCCCAGGAAGGCCTTAGCTGACTGGAGGCTGAAGTGGAGGGCATGGGGACCCGTTTTCCTGCAAGGCCTCGTGGGGATTCACAGTATCGTTCCCTCCAACTTCCACGGCTATGCCTTCGTTGTACAAGCACCTGAAGCCATCATAGAACTCGTCCGCCTCCACCTCCCCATTGTGCTGTTCGGCCTTCCTGAACTGGCACAGTACACGGCCTGGAAGACTGGGCTGTGTGGCTCGCTTTCTGAGGACTGCGGGGCAGAGCTCTGGGATACTTCTTTCACAATACAGAGCGTCCCTGTTAGCTGGGTGGAAAATGTACACCGTGTTGGGTGGAAGAGAAAACTGGAGACCACTGAGGTACTGATCCACCAGTTCTTTGCAACGGATGAGCTCAGTGCTGTCGATCTGGAACAGAAAATAAAGGCACTTGAGAACAACTCTGCCAATAAGTGTAATACTAATAGGTCTGCAGAAGTTTAATTAGCTATGTCAGCATGCATAGGCTGCAAAGGAACAAGTAAAGGTTTATTCCATGCTGAAAAGAGAAGAGAAGAAACAGTTTCGGCTGTGGAGCCTTTTTCAGATAGTGAAGAAGGCTCAATAGCCGAAACTGTTTCTTCTCTTCTCTTTTCAGCATGGAATAAACCATTACTTGTACCAATAGGTCTTACACTTTTGAGCTAACCTTCAGAATAGTGACACGTTCAAGCATTTGCCCTTAAAAAGCCAATGTCCTAGCTTTTAAAGGGAAATTTCATGTATGCAATCCACAACATTTCT